GGCACTCTAAAGGGTCTCTGTGCTATAGTCTTACTGTCATTTAACACTATTTTGTGCTTAAATTTACTTGCACAACAATTAGAACCATTTTCTCCTATAAATATATGCCTATATTCTTCTAACTGTATTCCGACTGCTTATTCTTAGCCTTGGTAATGCTAGCATTAAGCATCTGACTATTACTTGTAGTCAGTGGGAAGGTATCATGTGTCTCAAAGGTTGCACATAAATATGAGAATTCAAGTCCTTCAAAACTTAATATCTCTGGTTCTATGCATAGCTTACCTATACTCCTCTACTAACCTACTTACTAGATACTGAAAATCTGTGGTTTCACACAGTTCATTATAAGCCCTAATATAGCATTTTGCTTCACCTGCTTTTCTTAATCCTAAATTGTCTGCCTTTTGGGCATTAATCCAGTCTGATATTTTGGCAGCTTCATTTAAGGCATCAATAATGCCCTCAAAATCCTCGTCGAGTCTACTGAGATATAACAGTATGGTGCTCATCAGATATAAAGCACTGCATGGACCTACTTGTGCAGATTGTTTTTCTGCAGCTTTGTAGATAGCATCAGCCCTTCTATTAACTCTAGGCATGCACCACCCTTTTCTGTAGTGGTGTCAACACCAGCAGTAGCCATAGTTACTTATTTACTACTCATTTTTAGCTTTCCTTATTTATAGTACTTTTGGTTAATTTTCTTACTTTTACTCCTATCTTTACAATAATCAACCTATCATTAGCTACTCCAAAATAATTCTCGAGACTGCGCCAGTTGTAATGGGCAGTGCCCTTAGGGCTAGTCGTTGGAGCTTCGACTGTACTACCGAATACACAACGTTTATTTAGTTGAGGATTGCAGTGGGGAGTAGATCTCACAAGTCGCAATCTCGAGGTAATTTACAGTTATAATAAAGAAAAAATTCTGAAACTGACATTGAACAAAATATATCGACATTTATTAGGTCTTTCCACATAGCACACACTTTTAATATCAACACTTAGAATTGTTAGAAACTCACGGCTTAGTAAATGTTTAACTTTCACTTTTCAATTAAACACTATTAACCAATAGAATATTTCTTTCTATTTTAAGCAATAACTACCTTTAGTAAACTACATTAATTGAACAAGAGAGATAGCAATTTATACTTACAACAAGGTCTGACTATTGTATCTCTGGAGGTTGTAAATCTTTATATTCATGTTGACTTGGAAACCTTGATTCATCCTGGAGAGACTTCATTTCTTCCTGAAATCTTCTTGATTTTTAGCTTAAGACACAAGTTTTTATACTGTATTCTCTTTATATCCTTTTGATTTTCCAAATAGTGTTCCTGACTACCTGCAAGTAGTCCTGACACTTTATTGACTAATTTCTGCAACTCATTGGGCATTTCCAATAAAAGAACCAAAATTCTCAAGAAATTGGTTATTTTGATGGTGAGTGCTCCAGTTGCCTTTTTACTTGTACTACTACACAGGTCTGGAGTAACAGATCTCACATCAAAGTATCGATTTGAGATTCTATCATAAACGTTTTAGTAGCCTTTACTGTGGTACTAACTCAGCATCAGTAACTTATCACTGTCAAAGTCGTGACCAACATTTTTCTCAGTGTCCTCACTATAGCTTCATTTTTTATAACTCTTAACTCATGATTCTGAACACTAACGAGCCAGCTAACTGTGCTTTGCCTAGTTCTTGACCCAATTTCGTAATACAGGCGTCGTTTACTTATGCCATTTCTTCACAAATAAGCAGCACACTCAGAAACATTAATTTCTTTCTTAAACATAAAAGGATGAAGCAATTGTAAAATTCCCTCAAAACATCCAGTTGCTTCAGTGGTCTTGTCTAGACTCTTTATTGGCCACTGTTTCCTTATATGTCAGTTACTTTTACAAGAGATTGGTCCATTAATATGTGGTCTTTGGGAAACTCGAATCACAATTGCTTATGTTTTGCTTTCGTGGCATCACTATGATTACCAGTTGTGGCATTATTTTAGAACATTTCACTTCAAGATTTCACTTTGATGTTGAGCAGTAACACAGTTGAGGTGGATCACGTTTTTTACTATTATTTTTAATGCTATTTATTTTAACCTTGTTTCGATCAACAAAGAAACAAATCATTTGTAATATTATGTTTTAAAATTTTCTTTCTTAGATTGGTTTTGATTCCTTTACAGTTAAATGTTTGATAAAGAGATCCATTGGGATTTGTGGCATAACTCCCAACCAAAGAAATAAAACTTCACAAGATTTTTGAAGAAAACACTATTCAACAGTATATGAAATTACCTTATAAATATGACACACATCCAAAATAAACTATTCAACAATATATGAAATTATCTTATAAATATGACACACACTTTCAAATTAAACTATTTAACAATATATGAAACTGCCTTATCATTATGACACACATTCAAAAGAAATATTCAACAATATATGAAACTACCTCGTAAACAGATAAAGGTAACACTATTGAGTATAACTAAAATTCCAGGGTCATGTATTGGCCCTACAGTACAGTAATATATTTCGAAGCTGACAAGCAGCGTTTTTACATCATTGCTATACCTCAGAATGACAGTCAATCCCTTAGCATGTAGGATAGATGGTAAGGTTGCTTTACTAAAATAACAGTCAGTCCCTTAGCATGTATGATAGGTGGTAGGGTTGCTTTATAAGAATGACAGTCAATCCCTTAATATGGATGTGGGGAGGTAGGGTTAGTTTATAAGAATAATATAGCCAATTTCTTAGTGTGTATGATAGGTGGTAGGTTTGCTTTATAATAATGACAGTTAATTTCTTAGTGTGTATGATAGGTGGTAGGTTTGCTTTATAAGAATGACAGTCCCTCCCTTAGTGTGTATGATGGATGGTAGGGTTGCTGTATAAGAATAACAGTCAATCCCTTAATGTGTATAGGTGGTAGGTTTGCTGTATAAGAATGGCAGTCAATCTCTTAGTGTGTATGATAGGTGGTAGGGTTTCTGTATAAGAATGACAGTCAATCCCTTAGCATATATAACAGGTGGTAGGTTTGTTGTATAAGAATGACAGTCAATACCTTAGCGTGTATGATGGGTGGTAGGATTGCTTTATAAGAATGACAGTCAATCCCTTAGCATTTATGATAGTGTTACGACAGCGGAAGTCACGCAACACTGGGAGCATGCGCGCTGGAGTTTTTAGAAGGATCATGAATTTTCCTGGCAACTCTAGTTGGTTCCAAGCACCCTCTTTTTTAGTATATAAGCCCAGCAAATAAAGCCAGCGAGGAAGATAGAATTGCAGAGATATGCATATACATTGAGAATAGAGATAATTGAGTGAAGCGAACAGTATGTACCATAAAGTGTGTGAATAACTGTGATTTATATCGTGTGTTTATAAAAGTAGTTAAGTTAAAGCGACTGTGGAAATTCTGTGTATTACAAAGTTTTATCGAGAAAGAATAAACTAGTTTTAATTAAGAAAGGACTTGTATCACTGAAGTTCCTCTGAAAGAAGTTATACCGGAAATTAACAAACGAGCAGATACGTATCAATAGGTTGTAAGTTTGCTTTATAAAAATGACAGTCAATTCCTTAGCGTGTATGATGGGTTGTAAGATTGTGTTGACTGATGATCTTCACCTTAATTAGTATCTCACAATAACTGTCGGCGGCAGATACTTTTAGTAGCTTCACCGTAAAAAACAAGGTAAAATCGATTTAGAATGTTTTCGTTTACGGATTTATTGTTCAGTTAGTGATACCCGAAGAAGGGCATTGTCCGAAACGTTGTATCCACAATTATATATATTATAAAAATATATATATTAACTCCTTAGTGATTTGACCTATAATATACTTCTTTTTTAAATGATGAATATGCTACTAACTAATGAGTTCTCTTTATTAGGAAAACGGTGTCAAGGGAGATCTCTGGCTTGGGCTAAATTAGTTATTTTAAATCAGACTAAAAGTTTCTGATTTCTTCTAAAAACACATATCTAAGAATCTAAGTTATCTTGTGTCTCACGAAAAGTGGTGATTGTAATGAAATTACATAATATAATCTATATAGTCCACATCTATACAAATTACACATTACATATGTAAATAACTATATAACTCGTATATACACAAGTTACACATTACGTATATAAATAATTATATAACTCATATATACACAAATTACACATTACGTATATAAATAATTATATAACTCATATATACACAAATTACACATTACGTATATAAATAATTATATAACTCATATATACACAAATTACACATTACGTATATACATAACTATATAACTCATATATACACAAGTTACACATTACGTATATACATAACTATATAAATCATATATACACAAGTTACACATTACGTATATACATAACTATATAAATCATATATACACAAGTTACACATTACGTATATACATAACTATATAACTTATATATACACAAGTTACACATTACGTATATACATAACTATATAACTCATATATACACAAGTTACACATCACACATATATGTATAATCTGTGCAATCAGTATATATATACAAATTAAAACGTTAGGTATTTAAACGTGTTTGACTTATGAGTGTTTGATCACATTTTGAATCCCAATAGTTTTCGGTATTTGTGAAGTGTGAGCCCATTTAAAGAAAAACTTAAGATTTTTGTTTTATTTCATACGCTTATTAGTTCGTTAACACAGTAATTTAGTCACTGTTTCAAATTATTACTGGAATAGATGAAATTGAGTGTAATTAGTAATTATTCACACACTTTACTACAGGTTCTATACTTGTTTGTGTGAAGAACATTGTTTACAAGAGTGATTAAAAAAGTTGATAGCAAACTTTTCAGAAAATTCAGTTTATTCTCATTACCGTTCAGCATTTAGTTCTCTAACTTCACTAAGTGAAATGGTTTGTTATCATTCATCTGAACAATGATTTCTAACTTTCAATGAAGATGAAGAAGGTGAAGACGACGACGATGAGGAAGATAATGAAGATGAAGACGAAGAAGAAGGTGAAAATGAAGAGAAGGAGGATGTAGAATCTGCTGCAGGTGCTAGACCAAGACGCCTCTCTGAGCTTAACATCCCCACCAAGATTCATCCTATTCCTCAAGCTTCCTCCTTCTTTATTTTCTCTAATACAAACAAGTAAGTTGGATAAATAGACAACTAACTCTCCTATTTATTTATTTTTCTATTACACACAAGTAACTTGGATAAACAGACAACTAACTCTCCTATTTATTTATTTTTCTATTACAAAGAGTAAGTTGGATAAATAAATAACTAACCCTCCTATTTATTTATTCATTTTCTCTAATACAAACAAGTAAGTTGGATAAATAGACAACTACCTCTCCTTTTTATTTATTTTCTCTAATACAAACAAGAAAGTTGCATAAATAGACAACTAACTCTCCTATTTATTTATTTTCTCTAACACAAACAAGTAACTTTTATAAATAGACAATTAACTCTCCTATTTATTTTCTCTAACACAAAAAAGTACGTTGCATAAATAGACAACTACCTCTCCTATTTATTTATTTTTCTATTACAAAGAGTAAGTTGGATAAATAGACAACTAACTCTCCTACTTCTTTATCTTTTCTAATACAAACAAGTAAGTTGTATAAATAGACAACTAACTCTCCTATTTAGATACGATGGTAGTTCATGTTCTGAATTCTATATAATTTAGGTAGATATGATGACAGTTCTTGTTCAGCATTTTATATTATTTAGGTAGATACGATGGCAGTTCATGTTCAGCATTCTATATAAGTTAGGTAAATACGATGGTAGTTCAAGCTCAGCATTCTATATAATTTAGGTAGATACGGTGGTAGTTCATGTTCGGCATTCTATATAATTTAGGTAGATACCGTGGCAGTTCATGTTTAGCATTCTATATAATTTAGGAAAATACGATGGTAGTTCATGTTCAGCATTCTATATAATTTAGATAGATACGATGGTAGTTTATGTTCAACATTCTCTATAATTTAGACAGATACGATGAAAGCTCATGTTCAGCATTCTATATCATGTAGGTAGATAGGATTGTAGTTCATGTTCAGCATTCTGTATAATTTATACAGATACGATGAAAGTTCAAGTTCAGCATTCTATATAATTTAGATAGATACGATGGTAGTTTATGTTGAACATTCTCTATAATTTAGGTAGATACGATGGTAGTTCATGTTCAGCATTCTATATAATATAGGTAGATATGATGGTAGTTCATGTTCGGCATTCTATATCATGTAGGTAGATAGGATTGTAGTTCATGTTCAGCATTCTGTATAATTTATACAGATACGATGAAAGTTCAGGTTCAGCATTTTATATAATTTAGATAGATACGATGGTAGTTCATGTTCAGCATTCTATATAATTTAGATAGATACGATGGTAGTTTATGTTCAACATTCTCTATAATTTAGATAGATACGATGGTAGTTCATGTTCAGCATTCTATATAATATAGGTAGCTATGATGGTAGTTCATGTTCAGCATTCTGTATAATTTATACAGATACGATGAAAGTTCAGGTTCAGCATTCTATATAATTTAGATAGATACGATGGTAGTTCATGTTCAGCATTCTATATAATTTAGATAGATACGATGGTAGTTCATGTTCAGCATTCTATATAATTTAGATAGATACGATGGTAGTTCATGTTCAGCATTCTATATAATTTAGATAGATACGATGGTAGTTCATGTTCAGCATTCTATATAATTTAGATAGATACGATGGTAGTTTATGTTCAACATTCTCTATAATTTAGGTAGATACGATGGTAGTTCATGTTCGGCATTCTATATAATACAGGTAGATATGATGGTAGTTCATGTTCGGCATTCTATATATTTAAGTAGATATGATGGTAGTTCATGTTCGGCATTCTATATATTTAAGTAGATGCGATGGTAGTTCATGTTCGGCATTCTATATATTTAAGTAGATGCGATGGTAGTTCATGTTCGGCATTCTATATAATTTAGGTAGATGCGATGGGAGTTTATGTACAGCATTCTGTATAATTTAGGTAGATACGATGGTAGCTGATGTCCAGCGTTCTATATAATTTCGGTTGATACGATGGTAGTTCATATTCAGCATTCTATATAATATAGGTAGATACGATGTCAGCACATGTTCAGCAGTCCTTGGATAACTCTAGTGGTATCTTTGGTTACATGTTCTGTGTAACTTAGGTTAAACCAGTGAGAGCTGAGGTCTGGCCTATCACATAGCTCAGATAAAACTAGTGACAGCTGAGGTTTAGCGTTTCACATAACTCAGGTATATCCAGTTGGAGCATAGGTTTCACCTTCGATAGAGATCAGTTGAATACAGTGGTAGTGTAAGATCGACCTTCCATATAACTCAGCAAAAATATAGGATGCTGAGAATCGACCTTCTATATAACTCAGGTACATACATTTGTAACTGAAGTTTTTCGTCCCGTATAACTCAGGTAAATCCAGTGGTAGCAGAGATTGGACCTTCCATATAACTCAGGTAAATCCTAGGGTAGATCAGGTTACACAATTTCTATAAACCAGGTAAAGCTGATTGTAGCTCAATATTTGGTAATAACTTAAATACATTTAGCTGTATTAGAGATGTCACGTTTTATATATCTAGATTTACAAGTTCCATTTAACTCTGGTAGATCTGATTACAGCCAATGTTCAGTATTAGGTAATTATGATGGGGTCTCATGTTCCATGTTCCATAAATTTCTGATAAATGCAGACGTGGCTACAGGTTCAATATTGTGTATAATTTCTATATATCTAGTGGTAGTTCCTGTTCTATATAATATGTGTATATCTGGTAATAACTCATGTTCCATGTTCTATATAATTTGTGTCTATACGGAGGTAGTTCATTTCTTTATAATTTGTGAATATTCAGTGGTAGTTCATGTTCCATGTTCTATATAATTTGTGTATATCCAATGGCAATTCATGTTCTATATAATTTGTGTATATCCAGTGGTAGTTCATGTTCCATATTCTATATAGTTTGTGTATATTCGGTGGTAATTCATGTTCCATGTTCTATATAGTTTATATATATGCAGTGGTAATTCATGTTTCATGTTCTATATAGTTTGTGGATATGCGGTGGTAATTCATGTTTCATGTTCTATATAGTTTGTGTATATCCAGTGACAATTGATGTTCTATATAATTTGTGTATATCCAGTGGTAGTTCATGTTCCATGTTCTATATAGTTTATATATATGCAGTGGTAATTCATGTTTCATGTTCTATATAGTTTGTGTATATGCGGTGGTAATTCATGTTTCATGTTCTATATAGTTTGTGTATATCCAGTGACAATTGATGTTCTATATAATTTGTGTATATCTAGTGGTAGTTCATGTTCCATGTTCTATATAGTTCGTGTATATTCGGTGGAAATTCATGTTCCATGTTCTATATAGTTTATTTATATGCGGTGGTAATTCATGTTCCATGTTCTATATAGTTTATATGTATCCAGTGGTACTTCATGTTCCAGGTTCTATATAGTTTGTGTATATGCGGTGGTAATTCATGTTCGATGTTCTATATAGTTTGTGTATATGTCGTGGTAATTCATGTTCCACGTTCTATATAGTTTATGCATATGCGGTGGTAATTCATGTTCCATGTTCTGTAAAATTTGTGTATATGCGGTGGTAATTCATGTTCCATGTTCTATATAGTTTATTTATATGCGGTGATAATTCATGTTCCACGTTCTATATAGTTTGTATATATCCAGTGATAGTTCATGTTCTATATAATTTGTGTATATCCAGTGGTAGTTCATGTTCTATGCTCTATATAGTTTATGTATATGCGGTGGTAATTCATGTTCCATGTTCTATATAGTTTATGTATATGCGGTAGTAATTCATGTTCCATGTTCTGTATAATTTCAGTACACCCGATTGTAGTTCATGTTCTGTATCATTTGTGTACATCTAGTGGTAAATCATGTTCTGTATCATTTGTGTACATCCAGTGGCAGTTCATATTCGGTATAATTTTTATATATCCAGTGGTAGTTGATGTTCTGTATAATTTGAGTATATCCGGTGGTAGTTCATTTTCTGTATGATTTGTGTATATCCAGTTGTAGTTGATGTTCTGTATAATTTGTGTATATCCACTGGGTAATTCATGTTCTATATAATTTGTGTATATCCACTGGGTAATTCATGTTCTGTAAAGTTTATGTGTATATCTGGTTGAAGTTCATGTTCTGTATTATTTGTGTATATCCAATGGTAGTTCATGTTCTATATAATTTGTGTATATCCGGTGGTAGTTCATTTTCTGTATGATTTGTGTATATCCAGTTGTAGTTGATGTTCTGTATAATTTGTGAATATCCGGTTGTAGTTGATGTTCTATATAATTTGTGTATATCCGGTTGAAGTTCATGTTCTGTATTATTTGTGTATATCCAGTGGTAGTTCATGTTCCATATAATTTGAGTATATGCGGTGGTAGTTCATGTTCTATATAATTTGTGTATATGTTCTGTATAATTTGTGTATAGGCGGTGGTAATTCATGTTCCATGTTCTGTATCATTTGGTATATCCGGTCATAGATCATGTTCTATATAATTTCCGTATAAACAGTGGTAGTTCATGTTCTGTATCATTTGAGTATATCCAGTGGTTATTCATGTTCTATGTTCTGTATAATTTCTGTATATCCAATGGTAGTTCATGTTATGTATAATTTGTGTATACCTAGTGGTAGTTCATGTTCTATAGAATTTGTGTATATGCGGTGGTAACTCATGTACCATGTTCTGTATAATTTCTGTATATGCGGTGGTAACTCATGTACCATGTTCTGTATAATTTCTGTATATTCGGTGGTACTTGATGTTCTGTTTAATTTGCGTATTTCCGGTGGTAATTCATGTTTTTAATATTGTTTGTGTTTATACGGTGGTGGTTCATGTCCTACATAATTTGCGTATATCCGGCGGTAGTTCATGTTTAATATAAGTTGTGTATATACGGTGGTGGTTCATGTTCTGTATAATTTGTGTATATAGGGTGGTAGTTCGTGTTTTATATAATTTGCGTATATACAGTGGTAGTTCATGTTTTATATAATTTGCGTATATACAGTGATAGTTCATGTTCTGTTTAATTTGTTTATATACGGTGGTGGTTCATGTTCTGTATAATTTGTGTATATCCATTGATAGTTTATATTCCATGTTCTATATAATTTGTGTATATGCGGTGGTAATTCATGTTCTGTATAATTTCTGTATATCCAGTGGTACTTCATGTTCTTTATAATTTGCTTATGTTCGGTGGTAGTTCATGTTTTATATAATTTGTGCATATTCGGTGGTAGTTGATGTTCTGTATAATTTTTGTACATCCGGTGGTAATTCATTTTTTATGTAATTTTTGTATATCTGGTGTAGTTCATTGTCTATATAATTTGTGTATATCAGTTGTAGTTCATTTTCTATATCCAGGGGTAGTTCATGTCCTATACAATTTGTGTATATCCGGTGGTAGTTCATGTTCCATGTTCTATATAATTTGTGTATATGTGCTGGTAAATCATGTTCCATGTTTATATAATTTGTGTATATCCAGGGGTAGTTCATTTTTTGTGTAATTTGTGTGTATCTGGTGTAGTTCATTGTCTATATAATTTGTGTATATCCGGTTGTAGTTCATTTTCTATATAATTTGTGTACATCCAGTGGTAGTTAATGTTCAGTAAAAATTCTGTATATTCGGTGGTAGTTCATGTTCTGTATAATTTGTGTATTTCCAGTGGTAGTTCATTTTCTGTATAATTTGTGTATTTCCAGTGGTAGTTCATTTTCTGTATAATTTGTGTACACCTGGTGATAGTTCATTTTCTGTATAATTTGTGTATATGCAATGGAAGTTCATATTCTGTATAATTTTTATATATCCAGTGGTAGTTTATGTTCTGTATAATTTGTGTATATCCGGTTGTAGTTCATGTTTTATATAATTTTTGTATATCCGGTCGTAGTTCATGTTCTTTGTAACTTCTGTATAAAAAGTGGTAGTTCATGTTCTATGTTCTGTCTAATTTATGTATTTGAGGTGGTAATTCAGATTCCATGTTCTGTATAATTTCTGTACATCAGACTGTCGTTCATGTTCTGTATAATTTGTGTACATCCAGTGGCAGTTCATCTTTTGTATAATTTATGTATATCTAGTGGTAGTTCATGTTCTGTATAATTTGGGTACATCCGGTGGTAGTTCATGTTCTGTATAGATTGTGTATATGCGGTGGTAATTCATGTTCTATACAATTTGTGTATATGCGGTTGTAATTCATGTTCCATTTTCTGTATAATTTCTATATATCCAGTGGTAGTTCATGTTCTGTATAATTTATGTATATGCGGTGGTAATTCATGTTCCATGTTCTGTATAATTCTGAATATCCAGTAGTAGTTCATGTTCTGTATAATTTGTGTATATATCCGTCGTAGTTCATATTTTGTATAATTTGTGTATATCAGGTGGTCATTCATGTTTTATAGAATTTGTGTATATGCGATGGTAATTCATGTTCCATGTTCTATATAATTTCGGTATATCCAGTGGTAGTTCATGTTCTGTATAATTTGTGTGTATATTTGATGGTAGTTCATATTTTATATAATTTGTGTATATCTAGTGGTAGTTCATGTTCTGTATAATTTGTGTAATTTCTGTTGTAGTTCATGTTTTATATAATTTGTGTATATCCGGTTGTAGTTCATGTTCTATATAATTTGTTTATATCCTATGGTAGTTGATGTTCTGTACAATTTGTGTTTATCCGGTTGTAGTTGATGTTCTACTTAATTTCTGTATATCGAGTGATAGTTCATGTTGTATATAATTTGTGTATATCCGGTGGTAGTTAATTTTCTATATAATTTGTTTATATCCTATGGTAGTTGATGTTCTGTACAATTTGTGTTTATCCGGTTGTAGTTGATGTTCTGTTTAATTTCTGTATATCCAGTGATAGTTCATGTTCTGTTTAGTTTCTGTATATCCAGTGATAGTTCATGTTGTATATAATTTGTGTATATCCGGTGGTAGTCCATTTTCTATGTTCTATAAACCTTAGTATATTCGATAGAAGTTCAGGTACCATATTCTGTATAACTTGGGTGAATATAGTTGTAGCCGAGGTCCATATAACTCTGGCCAATCCGGTGGCAGCCCATGTTCAATTGTATTATAACTTGTGTAATTCCTGTGCTATTTCAGGAAATAATTCTTATTACTAATTTTAATAAGTAATTGGTAAAATTTTCTCTATAAAACTATCCGGATGAAAAGTATTACTTAGAAAGGTTTTAAGGTTTTAGAAGAATTAAATGTCACAAACAAAACGATTACGTGAAATATTTCGACTTTTTTTTTTTCAGAGTTCGAGTCATGTGTCATCGCATTATCAACCACTCTATTTTCAGTAACATAGTCCTAGCTTGTATCCTCATTAGCAGCACCATGTTAGCAGCAGAAGATCCCCTTAACGCCAACTCAGCCAGAAATAGAGTGAGTTGTCTCCTTACATTAAACTTTTAACTAAATCTGAGTATTATAGTTTCGTATGAGCAGAAGACTAATTAGTGTTTTTGTATAGACTCAATCCAATGATTAGATAACTGTATGTTTCCTTGAGTTTAGTTTGAATAGTTTGCTATTAAAGCAAACTGTGTTTCTAATACGTTTTATAAATAAAAATTTTGTTGTTATGTGGCAACAATGTTGTATAGCCGTGTCTCCACTGAAGTATTGGTAACACGTGTATAATTGTTATTTGGCGACAACGTTGTAGTAGCCGTGTTTGCACTAATCCATTGGTAACACGTGTTTAATGGTTATGTGGCGACCATATTGCAGTAGATGTGTCTCCCTGAAATATTGATAAAACGTCTTTAGTTCTTAAGAGGCGACCATGTTGTGGCAGATGTGTCGCCACAGAAACATTATTTCACCGGTAATTGAGTTATTATTTTTGTATTTTTTATAAATGGACTTTTTAATTAAACTTATTTCAATATTATATGTTCATTAATAGGATTTGTAGAGTTATAACTTTGACATGAGAAAACCACCAATCATTTTCTCAGTTGATCTTTATGAAAATCAAGAATCTGACGATCGGGTGATCTGAAATGTGGTTTGTTGCTTATTCCTCATCTTTATAGAGTCATCTTTTTATGAATCCCAAAACTCCAAATGTTTCAAATTGGCTATGAGAACTAGGGATGATTACATTCAATCAAATGGATAATAAGATACGCTCTCTGATCAATGAATCCTGAATCAGAGAAGACGGAGTAGCTTACATTCAATATCACCAATCATGTATTTGAAGTAGTTGAGAGAAGCGCCCAATTTTCTCAAGTGATTTCAAACACTAAGGATGCTTCGGAAACAACTCATTCAAAGGAAAAAATACCTCAAGACGTTATTGACACTCTTGTTTACTCCAGACATTAGAGAGGAGGGGTTGATGATACATCGGGACCTTATCAACACTCATTACTTCAGACACTAAAAAGGAGGGGTTGATGATACTTCAGGATCTTATCAACACTCATTACTCCAGACACTAAAAAGGAGTGGTTGATGATACTTCAGTACCTTATCAACACTCATTACTCCAGACACTAAAAAGGAGGGGTTGATGATACTTCAGTACCTTATCAACACTCATTACTCCAGATACTAAAAAGGAGGGGTTGATGATACTTCAGGACCTTATCAACACTCATTACTCCAGACACTAAAAAGGAGGGGTTGATGATACTTCAGGATCTTATCAACACTCATTACTCCAGACACTAAAAAGGAGTGGTTGATGATACTTCAGGACCTTATCAACACTCATTACTCCAGACACTAAAAAGGAGGGGTTGATGATACTTCAGTACCTTATCAACACTCATTACTCCAGACACTAAAAAGGAGGGGTTGATGATACATCGGGACCTTATCAACACTCATTACTCCAGACACTAAAGAGGAGGGGTTGATGATACATCGGGACCTTATCAACAGTCATTACTCTAAACACTAAAATGGAGGGGTTGATAATACATCGGGACCTCATCAACAGTCATTACTCTAAACACTAAAATGGAGGGGTTGATGATACATCGGGACCTTATCAACAGTCATTACTCTAAACACTAAAATGGAGGGGTTGATGATACATCGGGACCTTATCAAAAGTCATTACTCTAAACACTAAAATGGAGGGGTTGATGATACATCGGGACCTTATCAACAGTCATTACTCTAAACACTAAAGAAGAGGGGTTGATGATACATCGGGACCTTATCAACAGTCATAACTCTAAACACTAAAGAGTAGGGGTTGATGATACTTCAAGACCTTATCAACACTCATTACTTCAGACCCTAACGATGTTCTGGGAACAGCTCTTTCAGAAGCGTGGTGGAGGATACTTCAGTACCTACCAACACTCTTGTTTTAAGCATCGAACATTAGTGCCAAGCTGCGTTTCCTATCTGTATTGACCCTTTCCCACAATGAGATGAAATTGCCATTTCTACCAAATGTTCATTGACTAAATGACAATCGTTGTTATTTCATAACGGATCATGGTATAACTATTTAACAAAAAAATGGAATTCCTTATTATTCTAATTTTCATGCATAAAATATTGTAAATTTCTATTATATGTTTTTAGTGCAGTATGAAAATGTCTGATTTAAAAGTATTTAAAATTCAAGCAGGTCAGGATGATTTTGTTTAGTACAGTAGACTTAAAAAAGTTGATAATCACAAATATTTAGTTTAGGACTTATTCCTTTTAATTTTAAAATTGGCTTTATATTTACGAATTTTTGTTGAAATGTATCTCTAATAAAATGCTTGTCAGACATTACGTGAATTAATAGACGTTTAGATGAATAAACTAATCAATTATAAGAAAGCATAACTTCTATTGTTTGCATTTATTTTTCTGTGTTTAGGTTCTCAACTACTTTGATTATTTCTTTACCACCGTATTTACTATTGAAATTACTTTAAAAGTAAGTGAGTATATCAGTTGTTTACTATTGAAATCATTTTGAACGTAAGTGAATTTATACTTGTTATACAATTGAAATAGTAAGTCAGTTTATATTTGATCTACTATTGAAATTATTTTATAGTAAATGAGTTTGTATCTTATTTACTATTAAAATAAATTTTAATGTAAGTGAGTTTATAGCTGATTTACTATTGAAATTAATTTGAAGATAAGTGAGTTTATATTTGATTTACTTTGAAGGTAAGTGAGTTTATATTTGATTTACTATTGAAATTATTTGAAAGTAAGTGAATTTATATTTGATTTACTATTGAAATTATTTGAAAGTAAGTGAATTTATATTTAATTTACTGTTGAAATTATTTGAAGGTAAGTGAGTTTATATTTTATTTACTTTTGAAATTATTTGAGGTAAGTGAGTTTATAGCTGATCAACTATTGACATTAATTTGAAAGTAAGTGAATTTATATTTTATTTACTTTTGAAATTATTTAAGGTAAGTGAGTTTATAGCTGATCAACTATTGACATTAATTTGAAAGTAAGAGAATTTATATTTCATTTACTGTTGAAATTATTTGAAGGTAAGTGAGTTTATATTTGATTTACTATAAATATTACTTTGATGTAAGTGAGTATATATTTGATTTAATATAAATATTACTTTGATGTAAGTGAGTATATATTTGATTTAATATAAATATTACTTTGATGTAAGTGAGTTTATATTTGATTTACTATTGAAATTATTTGAAGGTAAGTGGGTTTATATTTAATTTACTGTTGAAATTATTTGAAGGTAAGTGAGTTTCTATTTGATTTACTATAAAAATTACTTTGAATGTAAGTGAGTTTCTATTTGATTTACTATAAAAATTACTTTGAATGTAAGTGAGTTTCTATTTGATTTACTATAAAAATTACTTTGAATGTAAGTGAGTGTATATTTGATGTACTATAAAAATTAGTTTGAAAGTAAGTGAGTTTATATTTGATTTACTATAAAAATTACTTTGAATGTAAGTGAGTATATATTTGATATACTATAAAAATTAGTTTGAAAGTAAGTGAGTGAGTTTATATTTAATTTACTATTGAAATTATTTGAAGGTAAGTGTGTTTATGTTTGATTTACTTTGAAATTATTTTGACGATATGTGAGTTTATATTTGATTTACTATTCAAATTATTTGAAGGTAAGTGAGTTTATGTTTGATTTATTCAAATGCCATTTAAAGTAAGTGAATTTATATTTGATTTACTATTCAAATTATTTGAAGGTAAGTAAGTTTATGTTTGATTTATTCAAATGCCTTTTAAAGTAAGTGAATTCATATTTGATTTACTATATTGAAATTCATTTTATAGTGAGTTTTTGTTTACAATTAAAGTTATTTTATAATAATGTCTTAAGAGATGATAAGTATTGTTTTATGGTTATTCTTTCCTTAGGCAGTTTTTGGTGAAAGTTATTCAAATTTCAGTACAACGTAATGATAACAAATTACTTTATTTCTTCTTTAGCGTTTTAAAAAGCTTGAAAACTGTTATAACTCGTAGGACAAATCTACAGATTATTTTTCAACTGTACTATACTAACGTAAAAATAAACTTACTTGTACAACTTTACGGCTGATCGATCAAGTAACTGAAAATAAAAGCTAGCTAAAAAACAAACAAACAAACAACAACACTATGATTGAATCACTCTACCGGCTAGAAACATTTTTGAAAGAATAAATCTTTAGGCTCACTGGCCCTCGTATTTATAATTTACTCCTTGAATTTATTAGAAATTCTGACGTTAACCTTTCCGGTGCTTTCTAGGACTACATTATTAAACTTTTTATCTTAACGTCATGTGCTCTCTATTTAATAACCAAATCACAACATTAAATAATTTCAGGGTGTATTTGGTTGCTTGCTTGGTTTTGAATCACGCTTAAAGTGATGGGCTAGATGGAAGCAGCTAATTAACACCACCCACAGCCAACTCTTGGGCTACTCCTTACCAACGACTAATGGGTTTCACCATCACATTATAACATCTCCTTACCTAAAACGTCGAGGATGTTTCAGTATAGAATATGAAACCCGTGATCCGCAGATTGCGAGTCGAATGCCTTATTCACCAGATTATGCCAGGCCTCCAGTATTTGAAATTGCGACAATACGATTTATGAAGAAGTGGTTAACTTATTGTTTATTTGCAATTGGTAAAATATCGTCTACAAGAAATTAATGTTTTTCATGTTCTTATTGTGATGCTTCTTATCTGTTTTACTTTTTCAGGCTATTACATATGGTGTCTTCCTTCATAGAGGCTCCTTCTGCCGTAGTGCCTTCAACATGCTAGACGTTCTAGTTGTTTCTGTATCTCTCATATCCTTTGCTTTCGAGTAAGTGTTCCTCAGATCTGTTTTTCACCTACTCTCCTATAAGAAAGACCATATTTTAGATATTTCCCTCAGCTTAGTTTTTTTTCTTTTTTTAGTGTATATTGATGCTATATAAAAGATTATATCCAATGCTACTTTGGTCTCTTAATTATCATTGTAAGTACTGATGTTGATTTACGTTTTTTTGTTTCAGCAACGAGGCAATCTCTGTGGTCAAAATCCTTCGTGTTCTAAGGGTACTAAGGCCATTAAGAGCTATTAACAGAGCCAAGGGGCTCAAGGTAGGTGATCTCAGATACTCTATACTACAGTCAGTGCTTTGGATTCAAGCGATGCAGCCTCATTATTTTTCCTCTAAAGGTGTTTGTAATGAAGTCCAACTTTTAAACTAAAGCTAGATAGGCTATTCGTTTTTCTTCAAAGAAGTTATCTTACCTCCTTGTGTTTTTTAAAAAAAACGTGTTTAAATATACAAGCAAGGTAACCTCATTGGATTTCATCAAAAATAACAACTAAACCTGTACTAAACATAACTAAACCTGGACTAAATATATCAACTAATCCTGTACTAAACATAATGTTGCGTATCTGCTTGTTTGTTAATTTCCGGTATAAATTATTTCTGAGAAACTTCAGTGATTCAAGTCTATTCTTGATTAACCCAGTTTATTCTTCCTTGATACAAACTTTGTAATACATTTAACAACTTTTCTGACACATTAGATCTATATATATATATCTCGCTAGCTTTCTTTGTCAGGCTTATATATACTAAAAAAGAGGGCGTCTAGCAAACACTTGGACATTCACGATAATTCGAGAAACTCGAGCGCGCATGCTCCCAGCGTCACGCGACTTCCGCTGTCGTAACAATAACAACGAAACCTGAACTAAAAATAACAACTAATTTTGTACTAAACATAATTAAACCAAGACTAAATATAACAACTAGTCCTGTATTAAACATAACAACGAAACCTGAACTAAAGATAACAACTAATTTTGTACTAAACATAACTAAACCAAGACTAAATTTAACAACAAATCTTGTACTAAACATAACAACTAATCCTGTACTAAACATAACAACTAATCCTGTACTAAACATAACAACTAATTTTGTACTAAACCTGAACTTAAAATAACAACTAATTTTGTACTAAACCTGAACTAAATATAATAACTAATTTTGTACTAAACCTGAACTAAGGATAACAACTAATCCTGTACTAAACATAACAATGAAACCTGAACGAGGTATAACAACTAAACATAACAAGTACATTTGTACTAAACATAACATAACAACTAAACTTGTACTAAACATAACAAGGAAACCTGAACTACACATAACAACTAAACTTGTACTAAACATAACAAGGAAACCTGTACTAAACATAACAACTAAACCTGTACTAAACATAACAAATAATCCTGTACTAAACATAACAACTAATCCTGTACTATACATAACAACTAATCCTGTACTATACATAACAACTAAACCTGTACTAAACGTAATAACTAATTTTGAAGTAAACCTGAACGAAACATAACAACTAATCCTGTACTAAACATAACAACTAATTTTGTACTAAACATAAAAACTAAACCTGAACTAAACGTAACAGCTAAACCTGAACTAAATGTAACAACTAAACCTGAACTAAACATAACAAGGAAACCTGATCTAAACATAACAACGAAACTTGTACTAAACATAACAAAAACCTGTACTAAACGTAACAACGAAACCTGTACTAAACGTAACAACTGTTGTTATGTTTAGTTCATGTTTCATTGTTATGTTTAGTTCAGGTTTAGTACAAAATTATTTATTATGTTTAGTACAGGTTTAGTTGTTATGTTTAGTACAGGTTTGTAACCTGAGCTAAACATCAAACTAAACCTCTACTAAACATCAAAACTAAACCTCTACTAAACATCAAAACTAAACCTCTACTAAACATAACAATGAAACCTGAACTAGGTATATCAACTAAACATAACAAGTTCATTTGTACTAAACATAACATAACAACTAAACTTGTACTAAACATAACAACTAAACCTGTACTAAACATAACAAGGAAACCTGATCTAAACATAACAACTAATCCTGTACTAAACATAACATGGAAACCTGATCTAAACATAACAACTAAACTTACACTAAACATAACAACTAAACTTGTACTAAACATAACAACGAAACCGGAAGTAAACGTAACAACGAAACCTGTACTAAACTTAACAACTACACCTGAACTAAACATAACAAATAAACCTGAACTAAACATTACAACTAAACGTGAACTAAGCATAACAACTAAACCTGTACTAAACATAATAACTAATTTTGTACTAAACCTGAACTAAATATAACAATGAAACCTGAACTAAACATAACAACGTAAACATCACAACTAAACATCTACTAAACATAACAATGAAACCAGAACTAAACATAACAACGAAACCTGAACTAAACATAACAAATAATCCTGTACTAAACATAACAAATAATCCTGTACTAAACATAACAACGTTTAGTACAGGTTTAGTTGTTATGTATCGTTCAGGTTTACTTCAAAATTAGTTATTACGTTTAGTACAGGTTTAGTTGTTATGTATAGTACAGGATTAGTTGTTATGTATAGTACAGGATTAATAACAAGGAAACCTGATCTAAACATAACAACTAAATTCCTGTACTAAACATAACATGGAAACCTGATCTAAACATAACAACTAAACTTACATTAAACATAACAACTAAACTTGTACTAAACATAACAACGAAACCGGAAGTAAACGTAACAACGAAACCTGTACTAAACTTAACAACTACACCTGAACTAGACATCACAACATAACGTGAACTAAGCATAACAACTAAACCTGAACTAAACATAACAATGAAACCAGAACTAAACATAACAACGAAACCTGAACTAAACATAACAAATACTCCTGTACTAAACATAACAACTAATCCTGTACTATACATAACAACTAATCCAGTACTATACATAACAACTAAACCTGTACTAAACGTAATAACTATTTTTGAAGTAAACCTGAACGAAACATAATAACTAATCCTGTACTTAACATAACAACTAATCCTGTACTAAACATAACAACTAATTTTGTACTAAACATAAAAACTAAACCTGAACTAAACATAACAGCTAAACCTGAACTAAATGTAACAACTTTTCCTATACTAAACATAACAACTAATCCTGTACTAAACATAACAACTAATCCTGTACTATACATAACAACTAATCCTGATCTAAACATAACAACTAAACTTGTACTAAACATAACAACGAAACCTGTACTAAACGTAACAACGAAACCTGTACTAAACATAACAACTAAACCTGTACTAAACATAACAATGAAACCAGAACTAAACATAACAACGAAACCTGAACTAAACATAACAAATAAACCTGTACTAAACGTAACAACTAAACCTGTACTAAACATAACAACTAAACCTGTACTAAACATAACAACTAAACCTGTACTAAACATAACAACTAAACCTGTA